AGAATAGGAACATCGTACTTACTATATTATATTATTTGACCCAAAATAATTAATTACTATGTATTTTATTATATAGTTAAAGTCAGTAAATAGGAAAATACATGATTATATTGGCATCTTACAATTAGAATCTTTGTAATAAAATAAATTTAATAAATTGCTTATTGGATAACATAAAATGATCATATAAGTTTGAGTTGCTACCAGAATTATTTAGTGGGTACTGAGTTATTAATAATCAAAAGGTTAAATGGTTGTAAAGGTATATTAATGTTTGTTTTATAATTACATCAAATAATCAACTTTGGACAATCGTTCACTACAGTGGTAGATGGTCATATCAGCTTCAGTAGTGGTGTTTTATAGGTAGAATAAATTTATTGCTCAGATTGTGAATTTGCGAAGTACAACTTCCGAATAAAGCTTTTAAGTAAATATATGTACATTCCTATTTACCATTACAAACTGTTTTATTATATCTTTTTTCGAGCCTTTATTTTCTTATTAATATTTAGTTTCGACTGCTATCGTTTTTATTTAATACTAGCGACTCACACACGCTTTGCCTCGGGTTCGTCCCTAGACAAAAACAAACTTTACCCACGGGAACCGTACAATCCGGGATGATATAACCTTCCTCAGTTAACAGGCTATCCATTGCAAAAAGAATTTTTAAAATCAGATTAGTAGTTCTTGATATGAGCGCGATCAAACTAACAAACAAACAAACTCTTCAGGTTTATAATAATAGTAATTTCATATAGATAAGTAGGTACACACCTTTATATTAATTTAATTTTGGGAAAATTAAAAGTACTCATGGCCGATAGGTACATTAAATAGACAGCATATATTACGTATTAAGATAAACTCCATTGTATTTCTCATATTATGAAATAAAAGTTAAATTACGCTAATAACAGATATATGTAATAATATATATGTAATAATAACTGAATATAGAATCCTTTATAATGTGAAATTTGTGTAGGATAAGGGATTTATCATGCTTGTGTACAGTCAAATAGGCCGCGAAACGCGTCATCTATATTTTGATACGCACCTACTACGTAAGTATGCGTGCCTGGATGTGTGATGTGTATAGGGAGACGTCGATGTGCGCGTGCGCCTCATATTTGAGCGCGAACGCAGCGGCATCAGCGGCTCGCGAGAGAATTATTACGTGAACGCGACTTGTTTCGATGCCGTCAGCGCATGCCTAAACATTAGGTGTGTTCAGTGTTTGTAAATTGTACTAATTGGGAATGGCGATCCATACTTACAATACAGTGCTTTTTTTATCTATAACTATCCCAGTTGCGTTATACAACGACCGTGCGTTCGATCAGTGAAATAACCTGGGACTGGTGACAGTTAATACTATCGCACGCGAGTCTATTGCTAGGACGGGTGCATTATGCACATATCCAGTGTATGTGTGCGTGAAGTGTTCACAAATAGTCGGTGCGAAAGGGGTTCAGAACGATATCTTATTGTAAGTAGATGCAACCACAATCAGTTGATACATTTTGAGGTTATGTTTGATGATTACATACAACAGAGTATAAGCAAGTAGTAATTTACAATTGTTTCTTTTTATTTGTGTGATGTTAGGATCGGTGTTCTCATAAGCTATTTTCAAAGTCAATTTTTTTACAGATTTATTGTTGTCTTAACCAAACATTTTAGTTGACTCATCACTCATTAATATATTTAAACATATTAAGTAATATACATTATGAATAACATTAACCTTAAAAATTCGCTAAGAATAATTGAATATTGAATATTGAGAGCATGCAGTGATTGCCTAAATAATCAATATCTTTGTTCAGTGTATAACAATAGAAATCAAAGATAAGATAACTTTTACCAGTGAAAGAATACGATTTAAATACCTATTTTAGTGATATTATAACATTGACCACTATAAAATACATAAATTATTATTGGTCATGAAAAAGATTAACTGGTTTAATAGGTGCTTGTTGTATAAATAAACAGATACACACGGTTTTACAGATAAATGCAGTTAATTAGGAACAGGGTCGAGTTCGTATACCTATTTATTGAACACACTTTGAATAATTTTACTGAGCAAAGAAGAGTAGAAACTATTTATTTTATCACGATTTATAATAATAAACTAATAAGTTTGACGAGTGACGACTGTTTTGAAAACAGCTTGACAGAATTCAATGGGATTTCCTTATGATTAAAAACGTAATTTAAACAATATTTCATTCTGCTATGTAGATATATCTTAAGCTTCCTTTAGGCACTGTGCGATTAGACAAAAGTGAGGGCCCATGTTCACTAGTGGTGACCGACCGAAGATTCGGTTTCGGTCAGTTCCGGTCATAGTTTCGGTTTCGGCTAAAAACATGCAGTCGCCGGCAAATTATAGTTATGTGTATATATTAGCACACCACTATTATGAATGCAAGTGTGAGTGAGAGTGTGTGTATGAGTGTATAGTGCTCTCTACGTGCTCTCTACGTGTTATTCCTTGAAATTTAGTATAGGATATACTATGTGTAAACCATAAGTTACTGTTAAGGGTAAGTGTAGTCTCAAGTCAACTACTTAAGTAGTTACATATAAAGCATGAACTACATTTCAGCATAAATAGAAATTTTAATAGGTCCGAGGCCGAAGGTTCGGTTTCGGTTTCGGCTGCAAATCCTGTTTCGGTCGGACAAATGACTAGTATCTACGAATATGCTCGTATGAGAATGCAAAATCGTAGACAAAAACTAGTGAAAAATGTTTTGCTAATAAATAATCATGTTCTTGTGTAGACACAATTATGTTTAAAATTATAAGCTATTACATGAAAGCAGTAGGTATATAATTACTAATTAAATGATACAAAAGTTGTTATCTCCGTACGTTCGCTGGCAATTTAATGTCAATAAGTTAGTGATGGGTTTCAAATATCATACAAATATAGATACGTACTTTTACTTTATAAAGATTTATCAGTTTCTAGTTGATCCATCCACTTAAAATATTTTTTCTTAAGTATTTTTCAACGATACAAAATGAATTTTATCTTATCATCAAATGCTTCATAGATAAGTGGCTACCTAAGAGTTGTTTACCGATGAGATGTCAGGATTAAGTACTTATTAATTGCGATTAAAAAATAACAGCTGTGAAAATTAGTTTTAGTTAAGTTTCGTACGATGGTATATTCTAGTATCAACGAAAACAAATGATTTTATGAATGAATAGTGGTTGTATAGTAAATTAATTCATCTTATGAGCAATAATTTTTTTACTGTCATAACAAAAAGTCATTTAATATCACGTTAAAATAAAAATAATAACAGCGTGACGTCAATATCTTTACATATTTGATCTATTTTTTTTACAGTTAGATCTTACTTATCATATTAGTAATCAATAATCATACAACTCTATTGAATTCAACAGAAAATTATATATTAAAAACATAAAGTAACATAATAGTTTTATTATACGTATAAAAAGAATTCAATTGTAGTTGCATGCAGCTGGCGGATGTATAAATACATATACAGCGAATTAGTCACTTAGATTATAAAAGTTATTTAATAAATAGTAATATTATTAGCAATCAATAAACTATAATATTAGTCTGTGGTAACTATATAATAAACAATACCGTGGGAGAAGAAATTAAAATTCATTGAGCAGTCACAGGTCAATAATTTGTTACACTTGAATATAAGAATGTCACAACTTATTAACCCTGAAGCGGGTGACCTGTGTATTCAATATTGCATAGTGCAAGTAGGTCCAACACGTGATCAACCGACCCGTAGTTGATCAAAAGGCCGTTTCTCCTCCTGTGTAGCCATTAATTGAGCGTCACTGGAGCGAATATTGTTAACATCGGGAAAGTATTGATTGCGATGCCCTCATCCCTATCGTAATACGTCATCGTTTATCACTCGCCCCCGCATTAGTACGTCATGGATGTATGACGAAGTAATACGTCATCGTTTTTACGCATGCGTCGTGTGTTCAGCTCATTCTATTTTAGATATATGCTTTATGGAACATAATATATTAAAATCTAAATTTGCTATAAATTTGATAGTTTGATTAAAATGTATTAAAAATTTGTAAAAAAGGAAAGTTTTAAAGAAAAATTTAAATTTTTAATGAGCTAATTTAATAATAAGGTAACGTTTGAGGGATTAAAGTGATGTTACAAGAGTTTCATTTTTGGACTTAAAATCAGATTTTAAATAGATATTTTGTAAAATTTGCAAATTTTGTAGATTAGTCATGACATCTCTGTTTTATTTTAGGGAGCACGATACTATGCCGAAGGTTTTCCCCGCCAATGCATATGCTTTCCTCATTTTTCGCCACCCGCCATCAGATGGCGTGACTGCTCTCCCGCTAAATAACAACATGGCGTTTCATTCACAGTTACCGTGAATTACTCGCGATGTTAATAAAATAATTTTTATTTTACTTTGATTTTCGTTAATTTGTAAAGACTCCAAACATGGTTATGGCGTTTTTGGATATATTGTCTCAGTTGGAAACAGGTATGATTAGTGTTTACGTAATAGTGGAGTGTTTGGCTCGCCGTCCTCTCTTCAGTATTGATTAGTAAACCGGTTATCATATGTGATGGCATGGATTTTAATATTTTCTATGAATTTTAACGTTAATTTTACAGAATAATTATGTGCAGGGCTTATTATTTTAATGTAACTATGGTCTAAAGTTATTTGATGAGATAATGGAAAATTAAATTTAGGAATGGTGCATTAAATTGACGCAGTAAACTTCACAATGTTGCTTAGCAACCAAATAACCTTGAAAAATAGTTCTAATTTTAGTTCGATATTCATTTAATTATGTTTAACATGAATTTAAAGCCACAGATGACGTAATTAAACTGTATTTATAATAATGGAATTTTCTTTTTTTACAGAAATCACCGCTTTATCTTCCGGATTATGGTACAATTAAAGAAATAAATAACTTTATTTAAAATGGATCCAATATTAGAAAATGAAGCTGCATCATCAGACTCATCAATCAAACATGGAAAATCTAAACATAGAAATAAGAAAAAAAAGAACCAGTTAGAAGGAACAAGTGAGAGTCAGACAGTTGTGGGTCAAAGGAAAAAATTCGTTGTCACGACATTAACAAGTTCAGATGATCAAAGTATTCCATCTGAAAATTTACCTCAAAGTAATGTGCATACAATACATTTTGGAACACGTGGGGTTGAATCACAGAGGCCCCATGTTAGGTCCATTTTTAAGGAAAGAGCTGACACATCTAGGCCGTCAAGTGCTGAGAGGGAACGCAGCAATAAAAAAGAATATGAAACTTTTCATGGAACATCATCTAGTCCTCGTAGTTCTATATTTGATATATTCCGGATACGACGAAAAAGTGATTCTAAGAAACATCAATCACTTTTAGAAAATGTTAAAGGCGCTTTAGGTGGTACATCAAAATCTGTTGAAACCCCAGAAGTTTCTAAAGACGATCAAAACATCTCGGAATCGAAAGATTCCCATAAGAACTATTATTATACCGTGACAGGAGTTCCTGGAACAAAAAAATCTAGTGCTCTTGATAAAATGATGCATATATTTAAGAGTAAGCCACAAACACAAACAGAACAAAGTACCGCTAGCACAACAAAGAAAAAGAGCAGCAAACCCGTTCGACGATCGTCAATTGGAACCACTTCTCCAACTTATCATAAAAATTCTTATGCATCATTAGACCCAGTACAAGCCAAGCAGTTATTTAGAGAGGTTAGAGGTCTCCCTAAATATGATCCATACTTATCTATTGTACAAATATCGTTAGGGGGAAGAGATAAAACAAGACTTCTTTTAAATTTTTTTAAGTATCATAAATGTTATGAAATTCTACCCAAATCAGCAAAAGTGATTATATTCGACACTCAATTTCCGGTTAGGAAAACCTTTCCTACTTTAGTCTCGCATGGCATTCGATCTGCCCCTTTATGGGATGCTCATAAAAAATTATTAGTAGGAATGATTACAGTTACTGATTTTATTAGAATTCTCCTACATCTTGAAAAAGAAAATTCATCGATGGATGATTTAGAAAAACATACTCTCCATAACTGGAAAAAAATTCTAAGACCAACACGAAAGCCTTTATGTAGTGTCGGTCCCGATCAATCTCTACATGAAGCTATTAATTTACTAAACAAAAACAGAGTTCATCGCCTTTTAATGATTGATCCTATGAATGGAGATGTATTGTATATACTATCACACAAGCGAATATTACGATTCTTGTTTGTTTATCTGAATGAATTTCCAGAATTAACATTTTTTCATAAGAAGCTATTAGATTTGAATATTGGTACATACGAAGATATTATATCTGTCACAGATAATACGACTATTAAGGAAGCTTTTCGGTTATTATTAGATAAAGATATTTCAGCTTTACCCATATTAGATGAAAATGGTGTTCTGATAAACGTTTATGCTAAATATGAAGTATTGAATTTAGTTAGTGAGAAGTTATATTTAAATTTATCGCTAACAATAGGTGAAGTACGAGACAAAAAGAAAGACTGGGAAGAGAAGTTGCAAAAATGTTTATCGAGTATTACCTTATACGAGGCCTTAGAAATTATAGTTAGAACTGAAAGTCATCGACTATTATTAGTAAATAAAGAAGATAAGCTTGTAGGAATCGTTTCGCTATCAGATATTTTAGTTTATCTTAATAGGGTCATCCCTACGGAAAAGAAGGTTTCATCACTTCAGGAAATATTTAGACCGTTGGAAGTAAATAAAGTGCCGGAGTCATTAAAAGAGAGTGAAAATGAAGTAATAACCATTACTGTACCTAATATAAATGCGCAAAATGTACCTGAAGCAAGCAATGTTGCTTGTGATTCTAATGAGCCTGTTAATGATAATGTGCAGGCGAACGAAGGCGAGACTGAAGTAGAAGATACTAGTCCAAAATCTGATACAGATTCTAGGAATAATGATGAGTCAGGTGATGTCCCATAATCTCAGTCAAGTATAGATATAACATACTCGTATAAAGCAAACGTTCATATAATTCCAAAGAATATTAAAGTAAATGTTAGTAGGTAAATCTCAATGCTTTCTGCTTAAATGATGATATTGTAAATTAACTTATTATGTACTTGTTAATAGTAGCATCAACACCACGTGAATGCCTTATTTATTTATTTAACCCATTATAATATGTCGCCAAAACATAATAAATTATTTTAGAAACATTCTGAACTTTTATTTTGAAATTAATTTTAAGTATTACAAATAATTAAGAATTATTTCACATTGGTTAAATAGTCTTCTTTTTTATTATTGCAACCTTTTCAAATGAATATAAATGCTGTTTAATGTAATGCTAGGGTCAATTAAAAATATTATCTTGTTATTGTAATAAGCTCTATATTGGTTTTTTTGTTTTAAATTATAGGTTCGATAAAAAATATATACTTGTCGCTTGTATATGTACGCAGAAATACGTATAAGCAAGTAGAAAATATTTATTTCTTGATAATTGTAATCATAAATTATATTCCTTAAAATAATAAATTAAAACTTGTAACTATTAATTTAAATCAAAGTAGCGTAGTAAATATGTACCTAATTGTATCTGCACTATTTAATTTATAAAAATGCATATTTATTACCGACTGTTCGTTTAGACAAGTAATAAAAAAATAGTAGATACCTAATTAATCAATAACTTCCAAAGGTTGGAAATGTTTAGCTGTAAATTGTTTTGTATAGTAAATATTTTTAATTGTGTCAATAATTTATGATTAATAGATTAAAGAAATTTGAAGGTCTACAGTTGAAAATGTCAGACTGTATTGCAGTCAACAGTATTCTCCAAGAAAAATATTTTTTAGTAAACCTTTCAGTTACATGTAGGTGCATATGAGTTAAAATTTATATATTATATCTTTTAAGAGATGATATTAGACATTGCCAACTCCGGAGAGAAAACAGAGTAAAATAGTATTCTTTCTGTATAATAACTATTCGTTTTGGAAGACTGCGTAATGGTATTTCATCAGTTTCAGATACCTATCGTTTAATGATAAATATAAGAATAAAGAAGATAACTTAAGGTAACTCTTCCGAATGTTCTGTTCAGCTTTCAAGCCTTGAAATTGTTGCATTTTATTTTTTATATATATTTTAACTAAGTATCTTTTTTAAAGCCAGCCAAACAAACTTATATATATATATATATATATATATATATATATATATATATATATATATATATATATATATATATATATAGTGTAGCTCTCGAAGAACTTGTCGAAAAGTATAGAAGAGATACCGAAGTTTCTATGTTGCACTATTAGGTAGTATAAGGATAATTATTGTATTCGTAAATTACCTTAAAATAGGCTAACTCTACTTTTAAACAAGACTATGCAAATCAAAAATTTACAACGCAAAAACCAAGCTTTAGCATTTTTCGTGTTTCAACATTAAAAAAGTCTTTTATTTTCCTTTTATGATGCCTTTTGTTTTCCTTTTACTTTACTCAAAAAACAAAGAAATAAAAAAAAAATAGTTGCAAATGCTATTAATATTACATATTATAATGAATTATCAAATCCAACTGCCAATATGACCATGATAAGTTATGGTCTGATAAAGCTATAAATATAAGGATAAACTTGTAATATTTTTTATGAAAGTGTCGACCACTGCAACAATAATGTAAGATTCATTCTGTTGGAACTCATATCGGACGACGAAGGGTTACAGAAACCTGTTAAAATATTTGCAAGGACATTTTTGATCACTTGTTTTACGAGGAATATGTATTTTATGTTAGTTAAAGATTCTATATAAAACATTTTCTTTTAATTATAAATAGTATAGCAGAAATAGATATGTATCGATTCTTTTACATTTTTATAATAATAAATTGGCAAGAAATAATAATTCCCATTCTATCTCGGTAACATTAATGGCAATATATGTATTTTTACTACTTTTACTATTTTAAACATTATAAATTCAAGTCTATACCAATGTATATCTTAAAAATATTTTTCGGTAATAATCTTTTTATATAAAAACAATCAATTTATTTTAAACAAGCCATTTTTAATATACATAAAAGGAAATAAAAATAACACAACACTGTTTATGTGCACACTATTTTATGAGTGCAGCTGAATGCGCAGCGGAGACTCGGAGACGTAGCGACCGGTCGCGGGTACAGGACCAAACCCGGAACAAACCACTTCGTCTCAAGGTTGTACCGTATCTTACTTTAAGACACTATTTATTCTTGTCTTTACCTGCCACCGCCCAGTTGATAAAATATATGTAAGTCGATTCAAAATTGTTATTGTAATAACATATTAGTTGTTTCTGATGTATAGTTATAGATAATAAATGAAAATAACGCATAAAAATATAACAGTTATAAAGATATTCGCAAAAATTAGGACTCTATTTTAGCGTGACTGCAACACATTCTATTCAAATTAACATACGAATACGAACCAGTAGCGGCCCACTCGTGTGTGAAACCGGTAAGTCACTTGACACTGGCAAAATAAATATGGAAGCTTGCTGTGTGATTGTGAGACAAATCTGCCTACACACTGGTAGGCCCAGTCCCGTCTGTTGATGTTTAGCGACACACGCGAAAGATATTTCCACAACTAAGATTATCTAAATTTTATGTTTAAGCCTTTCGGCATTTTTTGATACTATGTCTAGATTAAGTTAGCTTAGAAATAAAATTTTGTTATATAACTAGCGACACCCTCGTTTCGCTCGGGTTTGTCCCTACTTACTCGTACGGTTTAACGTTTAGTATCGATTTCTCAGAGATGAAATATTTTTCCGCAGTAAAAAGTATCCTATATGTTGATCCGGATAACCAGCTATCATCAAACTAAATTTCATCAAAATCCCTCCAGTGGTTTTTCCGTGATGCGGTAACAGACAGACAAACAAAAATTCTAAAAACTATAGATTTGGCCTCTGTATCGATAATAATGTCTATTTCAATAAGATTTTCCAAAAAATATTTTATGTACAGATTCGACTTAGTAAGAATTTTATTATATGTATTTGTGATTATATGTTCTTAAAGCATAAAAAAATATTTCCTAAAACTTGTAACTTTCTACGGATAAGTGAAAGATTTTATGTAAAAAGCGTAAAAATTATACGGTAGGCTATAATGGAACGAACAAATAATAAAACCGTCCAGTACATTTAATAGCACATCTCTATAAGATATCAATAAATTCATTGTATGAAATTACCTACGATATTAAAGTTATTGAATCAATACTAACATAAAAATATATAGTTTCGTAAAAAATACATAGAATGCTGTGCTTATACCTAAATCATTAGTGGATTTTAATTATATTAAAATAAGAAGCTTATTAGGTAAATAAAATTATAAGTGAGAAAATTTATGAAGTTGCTTTGATGTTAGGCTTACTCAATCATGCGTAAACCGCTGAAGTGAAACTTTAAAGGGAATTTGTCACAAAAATGAAAAACAATTAGCTGGATTACTTTTACTAAGTGTACTATCTTGTGGTAGGTTTTAATTTAATTATAATAATAAAAGTTTTGTCTTTATCTGTAGCAATTAGTTCTGCTTTAGTGTTAAAAGAAGATAAAATTACATGTTTGAAATCGTCACTTACGCTCGCCACAGCTTGCGGGATTAGTCTAAAACTCATATCGGTAGCAAAGTGAAGTCGCCGTCGCATCAAATCGACTCATTGAGTTATGTCACCAGTGTTTGTAACGGACGGAAGCCAAAGATATTACGATAAAGTCACTAATCATATTTTTTCTTTCTAGCCCAGTCGAATTAGGATTAACATTGGAAAAAATTTTAACAGCATTTTTTTAATTCTTTGAGGGGTCACTGGAAGTCTAAATTTAGATTTTCGGGGAAAAAGACCCGTTGCGTCATCGGCCATGTTGAATTTAAGGGTTGATTTTTATTTATTAAATACCCCTCGTTTATTTTCAATTTTACACGAAAAATAGTGTACAAATTGTTTGAAATTAAATTTCCTACAATTTTGATTCTCATCATTTTTTTCCAAGGATCGATATTTTTTGATTTATACCCGAAAAGATTTTTGTTTATTGAACAACTCCTTTTATTTCAATTTTACGCGAAAAATTGTAAAAAACAAAGTTGCTTAAAATCAAATTTCCTACAATTTTGGTGATCAATTTTTTTAAGGTGAAGAAAATATAACAATATAAGAAGATACAAGTTAATATTCGTATTTCATGACAAGTAAATACCATAAAATCGAACATTTTATTGGTAACAGATTTCTTTCTTAGACTGCGTTTTACATTAATTTTAGTTAAGATTATAAAATAAAAAATAAGTTGTCCCATTAAATCAAGGTAAAACGAAAGTAAGTGGACTAGGTAGAATAATATAAAACAAGTAATTTTAGCATATTATAGATTTCTGGATGTGCGTACATAATTAAATCTACATATAACTTGATAAGTAATGTTGTGGATATTCACACTAGGTCTAGATAAGTCGTATTATTTAACTTATCAAGTATTGTTTCAAGGATAACTATAATGTGTTTCTCATTTAATGTGCATATATTTTTAATTTACAAGTACAGAATTGTACCTTTTCAATTTTGTGATATACAAACATCTATTATATATATATATATATATATATATATATATATATATATATATATATATATATATATATGTATTAATAATGATTGGATGGATTGAATGGTTTTTGAGGAATGTTCTATACTAAATATATTGTTTGTCTTATTGTTATCCTCGTTAATATTTGATCTTGATGTTTTCACCAATCGTCATCATAATCAGCTCGATTTAGTTCATTGTTGGAGTGACTTAGGCTTCTCATATTGGACGTCACTGAACTCAATTTTCAGCTCTTAATTTCCAAATATTGCGAGACCACTTTACGTATTTATCACTCTTTCATTTTGGCTGAA